AGCGAAGGACGATCCAACACAGTTCACAGCCTTGCTCCAGTAAATGGATGCTGGAGGGGCAATAGGTGGGGGGATGCACCAAAACATGCTCAGTGCAGGGGTCAACTGCCATGGACCAGGGAACCAACACCACAACGGCACAGCTGTAAAAAACAAAACCCCAGAAAAAGACCAACAAACCAGCAGGCCTCGCATAGATTCACAACGGTACCAGGGGTCCCCTTTTACCATCTGAGCCCTAGCAGTTGCTTCGCCTCTTTATTTCTCAAAGACCCAACCCCAAGTGTCAAAAATTAATAAAGGCAAAGGCTAGAATTTTGCTTGCTTTGTGTTTCATGCAGCTGCAACACGATCATCCCATGGGATCATCTTTCCTCCCCCCGGCAGGTGAGGTGGAAGCCACAGTCTCCAGGTACCGGGCAGTAACTGGATCCTGCAGACCCAGACACAGACGCTGCCCCGCAAGCCTCTGCCGGGGAGCAACGGCCTCCGACGTTAACAGAGCCCCGGCTGCAGGGAGAACCCCCGCCATCATGCAGGTAAGCCCTTCGGCTCCTCGCTGTTCCCTCTGGGACGGCAGGGATAACAGCTTTCCCTTTGGCTTCTTTCCCTGCCAGCTTTCATACGGTGTTGTCAGGTCAAGTACCAAAGGCTCTCCGTTGAGGACGCATATTAATATTACAGGTCCTCATTAGCACCTCAGGCCTCCAGTAGCAGGTTAAAAACAGTCCGAAAATATTCATAGTGAGTTATTCCTCAGCATTTCCATGCCTGGAAGCACAGAATGAAGCCTTCCAAACTACAGCGTGGTAACATCTGTCTCGGCTTAGGATCTCGCTGTGCCACAAGAAGCAGGGTTGGTTAAGTTTCTAGGAGGAAAGGAGCCTTATGCTAATAATACAAGGACCACAGTCTAAAAGCTGTGATTCTTTTGCGTGAATGTATTATGAAATGAAGGAAAGCCTTTCTGTTCTAGAAGCAAGAGAATTCAGTGTCCATGTCTTCTCTTCCCCAGCTGACACCCTGCAGGCTCCGGACTCACCAGTGGTGCTTCATTCTCTTCAATGTCTTGCTTTTCCACGTGCTGCTTTTCGGAGCAGATTTACTGGAGGAATACTTCCTGCGGTCCTTACCTCTTTCTTACACTGACGCAAAAGCTCTTGAAATCAGGGAGAGGGCCAGGAAGCTAGATGTGGATCCTCTGAAGGCCAACCTCTCTTACGCTGTCAGCAGTGCAGCAACTTGCTCCCATCAAGAGATATTTTTGCTCGTTCTTGTCTGCAGTAGCCCAGAAAACAGGACAAGGCGCAACGCAATTAGGCAGACGTGGGGCAACGTGACAGACGCCAGAGGTTATGCTGTCCTTACTCTGTTTGCTTTAGGAAAGCCGGCTTCAGTAACCACCCAGCTGGAGATCAATGAAGAGTCTCAAACGCACAGAGACATTATTGAAGGCAGTTTCATTGATTCTCCTGAGACGCAGACACAGAAGATGTTGATGAGCATGGAGTGGACAGTGACTTTCTGTCCCCACGCAAGGTATATTCTTAAAACAGATGAAGACGTGTTTGTCGGTATTCCAGGTCTGGTTGGATACTTGCTGAGCTTAACACAACTAGAGGACACCTACATTGGGAGGGTCGTTCATCAAGGAGTGCCCGACAGAGACCCCGAAAGCCCTGGCTTTGTTCCCATCCATCAGTACTCTGAAGAGTTTTACCCAGATTACTGCGATGGGAGCGCTTTCGTCATGTCCCAGGATGTCGCTCGCAAGGTGTACGTGGCCGCCAAGGAGGTGCCAGTTTCACTGCCCCCTGATATTTTTGTTGGACTCTGTGCTAAAAAAGCTGGCATCACTCCCATTCACAGCTCTCGATTTTCTGGGGAAAAGCACATCAGCTACAATCGATGCTGCTATAAATTCATTTTCACCTCTTCCAACATGAAAGAGGACGAGTTATTTAAAGACTGGAAGGAAACAAGTGATGGGAAAGACTGCTCATTACTGGAAGCTTACTACGGTCTGGTGTCCTGCAAGGTTTTGACCTATATTGATAAGTTCAAACGACTTAACTTAGATAGAATAAAAAATGAGGTTCTTCATTTCATCAATTAAGATTTAACTTTTGCAAAGAAAGTCTGAGTTTTCTTTTACTAGCTGTTTTTATCCTGTTAACATTCAGTAATAACAACCTCCTATCAAAGTTACTTCTCTTCCCTTCAACAGCAAATGAATTCTCAATGCTATAGTGTGTTACAGCAGCAAGAGAACTGGATGTACTCTAGCTATGTAAATACCTACAAGTGCATGCAAAGAAGTAAAAAAAAAAAAAAAAAGTATTCCAAGATACTTTATCTGTATCCAGTGTTTTCCAGGCTTTTGAGTCCTCTACCTTACGCCAAAACTCCCACATTTTTTATCCGAGGCATCACCTACTTCCAAAACAGTTTGTAACCAGGGGAATCTTCCTGCCCACGAAAGGGAGCTACTTCTGAGCAGCCTGGTTTACAGTCCCAGTGAAACTACAGAACAGCTTAGAGGGAGAATAGACCTTGAACCATCATGGGAATTGCTGAGGTCAACAACCCCAGGGAGATTCCAGGCAAGAAATCTAACTTACCTGTTAAAGAATCTTGTATTTCTGTCAGTCACGGCATCAGAGAAGCACTGACACAAGCAGCTCAGTGCCATCATGTTATGCTGGAGAACAGCATCAGTACTGAACTCAGAACAAATTCACCACCACCCTGGTAACACCAACCTTATTCAAAATGCAAAAAGCCCCCAAATTAGGAACCAGTCCTAGAACACACAACCCACCCATGCCTACGTCCTCCAGATTAACTCTTCCGTACCAGTTCTTTCAGCAGTAGAAGGACTAGCTGACAGGTTGGTCCTACAGTTGTGACAGACGCACGTGGGAAGAGACACGCATGAACCTTCGAGGGCCCCATCTGCTCTTGCCGTGACCGAAGGAATTGGAGGTGTGCTCCAAGTTATGCTGCTTGTTAACCAGGGTCACATGATGAGTTGCGGGGGGTGGCTTTGTTTTTGGTTTGGGGTTGTTTGTGGTTTGGGTTTTGTTTTTGGTTTTTTGGGTTTTGTTTTGTTTTGTTTTTTTGTGTTGTTTTTTTTTTAAAAACCAAGTTCATCAAGTTTAGCATGTTACCTCAGTTCTCCTTCTCCACTATTCCATCTTCCTCAATTATCTCCACCTGCGACTGTACAGAGGGGAGGACAGGGATAACACGCTTAAATTCTTCCATTGTATATAAGATACACCAGCAGCACATGTAAACCATATGGCAATATACAGGATGGGTAGGGAATTACATGTGCATAATAAGGGATAAGCATCTGATCAATTAATTGGAATGTCGAGCTCAAAACTCAACAAGATAAAGCGTATGTGCATATAATAAAAAAATCCCCTCGTTTGGCATCTCTGTGTATTCTAAAATATTGTATTTGGCAAATGTACCATGCAGAGCAGATGCTAAAGACTTAGCAAACAGTGTAGCCTTCAAAAGCAACAGCTGAAAACACACATGGAAGAGACTCATGAATTGCAGAAAAGGTTTATATATTGATTTCTTTTACTGAGATTTTAGCATACGGCTCATACAGAGCTACCAGTGCACAAAGCCACCTAAAATAACAAAGCTGAACTGCCCAATACAAGCGCAAACTAAGGACTTCTATACTCTTTTCTGTTTCCTTTTCAGTGCTTTCATGTTTTTTCTGACTGCAGGATTCATGAAACTTCTCTGCTCTCTCCGTTCACAAATGAGACACTGTGTACTGCATTTCTCACTAGCAGATGTTTATTATGCACATCTAGGATGAAAGCATCAGCAGTAGTATAATGTCGGATGACTACTTTTGTACATCTTAGATCATAAGAAACAAGGCAGATCACCTGCATTCAGATGGCTTATTAAACATTAAGGGATCTTCCCCAACTACTCTGCTCCTCTGAGTCCACTTTGACTCCTTGCCAGCAATTTTTGGCAGGCAATACCACCACCTCTGCTGCAGCTCAGAGCTACAACAGGCAAGAGGAGAGTTACTGCACAACTAGATCATCCTGCTTCACTTGGCAGAGTGGGGACACAGGGCGAGTACTATCCATAGAGGTACACCCGACGACACACTATAAAATAACCCCAGAAGTAGTAATTTCATGTTTTATTATAATCCCTCCAGCTATTCCTCAGATTTGTTTCTAATGTCCTCAACAAAAATACTATAAACCTTTTGTATAAAGTACATTGTGGTCTCTGTTTATGGACAAAGACACATGACGTGTCATTAGCGTCCATCTCACCCGCAGCTAGCTGACTCATCTTCAAAAGAAGATTACAACTTCGTAAGGTACTACATTTCCATACTCCTAATTCAGTTCATGCCCTTAAACATGAAAGCTTTATGTTCTTACCCTTTTTATTCTAACTCAGGCAACTAAAATCATACATTTTTTTAAAATAAGACTTAAAATTAAAAAAAAAAATTATCTCTGTTAAAAAATAGTGTAAACAATTTAAGATTTGGTTCTGAAGTAGACTTGTAGTGCTATAGCTCATGCTCCTTTTGAGCAAGTAAACTGAGCTGCCATACAAAGTCGCAGTCAACAAGTGAGACAAAGCTCCCAATTTGGTTTTATACATTACAGCGTGCATTCATTTGTTTTTAAAAGGTTCTTCTCACCCTCCGCATAAAATGTAAACAATATTTAGGATTATTTATTCAAGCAAGACCCACATCCAACAAGCTGAAAACAGAAGAGAATCCAGTTCATACTCCCTCACGTGGACAGAGTGGTACTAGCTCATTGTTACCAAACAGATTTCTGACACAGTATGACAGGCTGAAAGAGTATGTTCCATGCAAGTGCCAACTTTGGCAGATATATATAAAAAAAAATTAAAAAGAGAGAGAAACTATGGCAGCATCTGAGATTACAAATCTCAAAGTGTTCTGGTGTTTGGTTTTTTTTTTTAATTGAACTGTGATCTACCGAGAAAACACGACAGGAACTCCAAACCCAAGAACAGTTTAACCAAACACTGATAACTTCTGCAAAATAAAACATAGTCAGCAGTTGACAGAGTGCTTACCTTGGTTACTTGTCTCACGACAATACACAGAGAACTTCTGTCGTGACATTCTATGGGAAAATATGCTGTGCCCTATAGGTTTTGATTTGCTCTCATGACTTATTTCAAATAGAGTCAAAGTGTTTCACATTCCTTTAAAGAGACAATCTAAAGAGACTCCAGTGTGGAGAGCCTTTACACCTTATATCTTAACACCTGTTTCAGTAACATGGTTTGCAAGAAGGGGAACCAAGACATGACTGACATTATTCTGCTCCTTCCACAGCTGTAGTAGAAACTGCCTTAACATAGTAAGGGCCTTCACGCAAGTAAGCCCTAAGCCTCAAGTAATACTGATTTCCAAAGATTTCCGCGATTGTTTTAGAGTTTACGAGGGCCTTAACCAGTTCATATTTGGCATCCTTCGAAGCTTTGTCAGGCTCCACAGATCTGTCTACAACGTACTCCACAAACCCTGGACTGTCAAGCATCAACTTCTGGGCCCATGGTTGATTTGCAATAGCCTAAACATGAAGACAAAAGAGTGGGGAGGGGGAAAAAAACCTCATTTTAAAAACCCCAAAACCAGTTACACAGCAGGCTGCTACACAAATAGCCATGGAACAGAAAAAATTAAATGGGATATCCATTCTACACAGTAGTTATACAACCACCACTCAAATCAAGCAGCAGGGTTTAACACTGGAAAACAAGTAAAACTTCAAAGATAAGCATTGAGCTGTAAGTGAATTATCGCAGCAGTGCCTCTGATGTTGAAGCAGCACCTTAGAGTATAGCTGTTGCTTTTTTCCCCCCCCTTTCCAATTTATAAGAAAATAAGCATTACAGACATGACATGTCTGCTGCATTATTTAAATGACATGGGGCACAACGAAAAAGGCCTTATTTCTGACCACTTCAGGGCTTCAACAAAAAGTTTGAGGCATTTGCTTAAAAATCTGAGACTGGATGGCAATATAACTCACTATGTGATCTTTAAAAACAAAGAGAACTTACAGTAAATACTCGTAAAGCCCCACAGTGGAGATCAGGGAATGGCTGAGTACTGATGCTTCTGAAGAGTTCCAACGGCTGGCTAGACAAGGATGTGAACCACGACTCAGTCATTCTTAACAGGTCTTCTGTCTGCTGCTCTGGCTGCACGCATCACGTACAAAAATGAAAGAGTTTGATAAGGATTATGAAAAGCTTTCAAGTTTTGAGTATATGTTCAATAGTTAAGGAACATATTTAAAACAAACCACCAGCAGATTAAACTGAAATAGTTTACATTTTCAACTTATTTTCATGAATGAAGAAATGGCCTTCTATATTTCATTTAGCTTAGAGGACAGATTTAAATAAATTGATCTTGATACACAGGATAAGTACTGTGCTGGAGTGCAAGACAAATGAAAATGGCTTACTTGCTCATTTAGAGCTACGCTATTAAAACCAGATCACTGGATCTAAAGAACATACACAGGGATTAGAGCAGTTTGTCACTATCCCTTTAAAGCACAAGAATATTAAAATTGTTTACTCTCATTCCCTTGTCAATGATGTCTTGACTTCGTGTTTTACAAACAGATTTCGGAACACCTGGTTTCTTACAAAACAAACTCAAACTTTAAGCAAACAACTAAATCAGGGAATTTCAACAGTGAAATTAATGACTCTGAATTCTAGAAATCTACCAATTCTACCTAAGCTACATGCTGCAAAAGGTCTTTGCACAGTTAGTCAGATGCACAATAATTTCATTCTTGTAGATTTAAAGGAAAAAAAAAAAAAAGACAACAAACCAAAACACACACTTACAGGCAAGTAAAGAAGAGATGAAATCGCATCCAAGCATCGAAGTCGTAACTCTGTGGGGGCATTCTTTGCCTGGTGCCCTATTCTGCTTAACAGATTTTGAAACCTAGTTCCTTTGAAAATAAAAACAAAGTGCTTTTAATTAATTCAGACAGACCTCTACAGGACTACAGAGTTACCTGTCAGCCACATTATACTGTATTAACTGGTAGAAAGACTGCTGTACATTAAACCTGAGAAAGGCAACTTCTTGATCTACTACAATAAAAGCAGTGTAAGATTCTCTTTGCTTCATATGGATCTAAGGTAGCCAAATCCAAAGCTTTCATGTTAAATCTCCAGACTATCCAAACATTTCCAAAAACTAAGTTATATGTCACAGACAAATGAGTTATCTTGGGAAGTATGGACCCTAGTACACTTGTAATCAGAAATCTTCAATCCCGTTCCACAATGCTCCAACAGCTATCTGCTAATACAGATTTTCACTTAAAAAACAAAGTTTGGATGAGCAGCAAGAAGTCTAGCACCTACTTTCAATCCTCTGAACAGTTTTATATTAAGAGAAACAATGCAGCCTTTACAAAAAGCATCATTACATGAAAGTTCATGTTTTTCTAATCCTGCTGAGAAGGTCATGACATCAGTAGAAACAGAGGAATCTAAACTAACACAACTACTGACAACTTGTATGATGCAGTTCACTAGAAAAGAATAATTTGTATCACACTTGCAATACCAGAATTCTAGCTGCCAGGCATTTCACACTGCCATGCTTGGCAAGACAGTTAAAAACACCTTATCTGCTATAGCACAGCTATTCAGACCCTTGATTATTAAATAAATACACACATTTTCCAATTCCTTTCTCTGTTACACCAAACCAAGTGACTCTTGTATACTATGACATACTGAGAAAGTTTTACTAAAGAAAAAAAATGATACTAACTAGTTTTCTGTAAAACCTGTTTGCCTTCCACATTTGATCCCAGGATTCCTAGTGTGTCCACAGCCACTCCAATCATAGTCGGATCATGACTTTCTGCCATTTCAAAGACTTTTTCCATAAAAACAGGGTATCGTTCACAGATCTGCTGTGGACTGTCTACAACAGCCAGATTTCCAAAAAATTTAATGAATCCTGAGAGAATAAGACAAAAAAAAAAAAAAAGGCATTCAGAGTGGAGGAACAATAATGTCAGCAATGTCAAAAATTAAACATACATTAACATAAGATTGTTTCACTGCTAAGCTAGTGCTATTAAGTCTAAATACTGTTTGTGAAAGGCATCAGAATAAGGACAGAACAAAGGAACCAGCCAGTATTTTGGAAGTTACTTAATTCGTGATGTAACAGCTGACTTCTTGAATTCATAAAAAAAAAAAAGCTACAATAACACAAACTTCAGACCTATAGTACAGTCTCTCCAGACCTTACCTGTACTACCACTGTTAGTGAGTAATATTATTAATGTGTTAGACTGTCCTTCAGCATATTTTGTATACATCCAACATACATTTTCTAATACTCAGAAATTCACGTGAGTTTTCAAAACAGAGGTTTAACAGTCCTCTCAATTGCACTCATTAATAAAAGCAAGCAGTAAACACTGGAAACAAGAAATGCATGATGTAACCTGGTAAATAGAAGCCTGAGAAAGGATCAGACTCTGCACCAATGATGATGTTCGAAATTTTATCGATAATTCCCTGTTGAGCAAGATACTGACGCCCATGTGGGGTATGGGCCAGCGAGGTCACCATCTCTATACATGTAGCTCTGTAACAGACAAACAGTTATTTTGGCCTATTTCAGATGGGGTTTTGAAGCACTCTGTGATTAAGAAAAAACAGGTTTGCTACCCTTAAGACAAAATCCAAACAAACAAACAAAAAAAACCAAAACCAAAAACCAAACTACCCCAACCGTCCAACACTCCTCCAAGCTCACTCAGCTATCCTATTCTGGGTGTTGAGTTGGAAAGAATTCTAAACTGTTCATATTGCAGCCCAGCATTTCAACTATCACAGCATACTGGGGAAACTTCATCTTGGTTCTCAAATTTAAGTATACAGTATTTTACACTCACGGCTGTTTAAGAAGAGGCAGATAAAGCGTTTTCCTGAAAAGGGTTTCACAAGAAACACAGGCAAATATGTTTTAAGAGTGCTACTTTAAGACTGAACATCAGAATTTTAACAATGGGGGAAATCTCATTGGCAAACTCACTACCAACATACCTGACTAGCACATCATCTCCAGTCAGCTCTCCAATTAACTCTGATATTAATCCACTGTTTGCACAGTAATTTAGCGACTCTGCCGACACCGAAGAAATCTCAACAATTAACTAAATAAAAGCACAGGGGAAAAAATAAAAAAGGATGGTTCATAAAAACATTATAATGATAACAATTCACAGTAACGGCCAAATACATCTTATAATGCTGACTAATCCTATATATACTAAATACAGAATTTCATGACATTTTCATAATTAATCTAAATGTTTGCCTGAAACAAGTTCATAAGGAGTTCCAAGTTTACAGCACATGCATTTGATTTCTATTTGGTAATCTTTTCTTCAGAGGATCACCACTGCTATCCCCATTAAGCTCTAGAATGGCTAAACTGTATTATTTCTCCTTTGCCATATACATCTAGACCGACACACTTGGCATCTCTCTCTCAGTCTCCTCCCCCCTCCAAAAGTTTCAATAGCATGCCACATCCAAAGGCTAAGAGACTACAGCAGCTACTTTACTTTTACTTTCAGAGAAGCAAACATTTTATTGTATCTTTAGTAACTCTGTGTAGACCTTCCAATGCCCTAGGCACCACAAGTTAAGAGAATAAAAGATGTAAACAGTACTTCACACTTTTGTACCACAAACTGAGAAAGAGAAGTTGTGACATCATTTGAGGGCCAACACTGCTGTGTTCTTCCTACTCCTTTCTAGTCTTGACAAAATGTAGACATGAAGAAAACTTTGTAAAGCGGTGATGAATACTAATTTAAAAGCAAGCCATAAAATCCAGCTTCTAACTCAGAACTACAGTCCAAGAGAACTGCAGTACCACATCATTCAAATGCTAACATTGATCTCATCCATACCTCATATACTCTGTATCGAACAACATCATTTGTTGCCATGACATTCTTCAAGTCACTCAACAAACTGCTCACAAATAAAGCCTCTAAGCCATCTTGTGTCTGTGCTATTCTTGAGAGAGATTTGATGGCCTGGAAGCAAAAACAGGAGCTTATTATTAAAAACAAATAAACAAAACCACAAAAAGAAGAAAATCCAAGACAATCAGACAGTTTCAATGTTCTTTATTAACATATTAAATCAAGTTACGCATCTAAAATTTTAATTGTGATTCACTTTTCATGGATGAGACTCAGTTACGGTTACTGTAACCCAAGTCTCTGGCATAAAATTCAGATCTATGAGTTCACTTTAGCATCGAGAGCTACTGGAAGATAACAGTACTAGGCAATTTTCTATCATATCTAAGTAATTTCCGGGCTTAAGGCATCTACATGCTTGTAACATCTTTCAAGCAACATAAACTCTCTTTTCTTCAAAGAAGAGCAAAGGTTGTCATCTCAGACACAGTAGAAAAAGTGTTTTGTGCAGTGTCTACGTCATTTTGTAGAGGAAGAAAAAAAAGAAACCAATACTTACCTCTTTAGCCACTGCTATTTTGTCTCCACCAATGCAATTTATTATTTGCCGTAATAGTTCAGTACTGTTGAGAATTTCTGCCACAGCATCTGAACTTTCAACAACCCTCCCAACCTAAAGACATGATTAAATAATTATACAAAATAAACTTTAAAATCACCTTTTTCCAGTATAAGAACATTCAAGCACTGAAACAGCTACCCAGACAGCATCACCATTTCTGGAGATACTCAAAACTCAATCGGACAACACCTTGAACAGCCTGCTGCAAGCTGGTCCCGCTTTTAGCTGGGGGTTGGACCTGAAGCCTCTAGAAGTCCATTCCAAAACTTCAATGTTTCACAATTCTGTTCTTTTAAACTAATGCAACAAGTGTCAAGTTACTACAGCTTATTTCTCTTCAGTGTTTCCCCAACATTGCTCAAAGTATCCTGGATATCAAAATGTTACTGCATTTAATTCCTATGACACCTGCTGTCAGCGCTGGCTTAGAAAGCTTTATCCAGAACATGTGACAGAAGACTCATTTACAACTTACTTCTGTCAAGACACAGTTTTATACATTATGTTTAACAGACACACCGTAAAGCATTACATACTGACACACTGCACAGTATTTATCCAGAATTGCATGAACGTGTAAGAGTGCAGATAACACTTGATGCAATGCTTTCGTCACACACTAGGACGTGAAACAACAGCAACAGATCAGGACTAACCCAGCCTGGCTCAAGACAGAACTCCATCCCCTCCTCCTGGAAGAAAACCCTGTACCTGGGATATGGTGAGGATTTTCACGGAGTCATCGGGGTGTAAAAGGCCTTTCTGAAGCTCTTCTCTGAGGTTCTGGATCACATAGACCGGGTCCAGGGCCTGCAGGAGCCTCTCGAGGATGGAAACACACGCAGACACCTGCTCCCTGGGCAGGACAGAGAGAAAACCAAGCCTTTCAGCAGGGGGTCGCCGCCGGGGGCTCCCAGCTCCTCAGCTGCGCCAGCCCCCGCCCTGAAGGGGAGCAGGGCAGGAGCCAGGGTAGCAGCAGGAGCCAGCCCGCTCCGGGGGAAAGGGAGAGAGGAGGC